GTAGCTTGTTAGCATGAATGTCCATTTGATTTTAGCTACCTCATTGGGAACTGACAAAACGCATAAATGTCCATTTGATTTTTTAGTTACCTACCTCATTGAGAACTGGCAATGTGAATGATTTCAGGCCAAATTGACAATCTGCAGTAGTTATCATCTAAACAGCAAAAAGAACATGTCATGTGTTATGGTAAAATATGAGTAGAGAAATTGAAAGCACTGGTCTGCTATATAAGTTTGAACATTTAGTTAGCCTTGTGACATAAGAATAGACCGAGTTCATGCAGTGGAGGATAGACTACGCAACTCCTGAGGGGCTGGTGTTACTCGGAGACATTATGGGGTAGTTCATCCTCTGGCACAAACGGGACATTATATTGACTGCTTCTTCGCCGCCTCCCTCTCTCCCAAATTTGGAGCGAGTTGTTGAGGCCAGGGAGATATTTTCACCGTCTCGTGACCATCACATTCCTGAGATGCCACATTCTTCCCCGCCTCCTAGCGAGCATGTGTTTGATGAGATGCCACAACCTTCTCCAGCTTATACCGAGCAAGTGCATCATGAGATACCACAGTCTTCTCAACAAGCACAGCCGATACATGAACAACGAGTGCCTCCTGAAGAAGGTAATGCACAAGGAAATGAGGACGTGCCTGAATGGGAACTTCGAAAGAAGCATCCAATCACCATAAGGCCAGTTTATGTTTCGATCAAAGACGTCTCGTCAGTGTCAAAGTGGTTTTCCCATGACTAGTTCAAGCCTGAGAACCAAGTTAAAAAAAGTCCCATCACGGGGTTCTGAGGAGGCCGTCACTAGCAAACTCCACCAAATTGCAAAGCAGTATCCAAATATTGATGCCATCAAATGATCAAAGGATTGCCCGAAAACATATAAAAGAGGCAAGCCTTTCCTACCAAACCGGAACCAAGTTAAAGAAAGAGCGCCTACCACTTGGAATGAGAAGGTTCCATGATTGGTACTTGTGTGTTCTCTCAACGAGCATAGATAAGCATGCTTTCCCACCGGCACATTTGGAAGCCCAGCCAGAAAAATTGTCTTTGACTTCAATGACATGCACAGATGCTTTCACCTGGGAGAAATGGAGATGAATCTAATTCATACGTGGTGCCTGTAAGTCCTTGTCCTCCCGATATGATATGAATATAATCTTTGAATTTTGTTGTAACTAACCCACGCCGTGATTTTGTAGAATGCAAGTACACATTATCAAACAAATGCCAAGTGTGAAAGCCGGGTATCTAGACCCTCAAGCTATAGCCCAAACAAATTTTAATTACCCTAAACAGTGGACACTGGATGCCAAAGAGCTAGCTGCTGCAAAGACTCTTCGGGAGAAAGAGCGCATCCGTACGGTGAAACTAAGGGAAGAGTCCCTTAAGGTTGCGGCATACATTGCCCTGGCTTTTAAAAATCTCCAACAACACTCTACTATATGGCTACCATACAACTTCGAGTAAGTTCAACTCTATACTTAAATCTTTGTTCGATATATTTTATTCAATGTAAAAGAGTTTATCTAGTTCTATGATTAAATCCATGCAGCAACCACTGGATTTGTATAGGCGTCGATGTCGGGAGAAGCATGGCATGGGTCTTTGATTCAATAGATAGGGACCTGGTAACATATAAAGACTTCATATCGATTCTCAAGACGTATACATATCGACAATCCTCATTAGCTTATATGTTTGTATACATACTTGTAACGTTCACTTTTGGATACTAACAAGTTGTATTTGCTAAAATAATTCGAACAGGGCATTTAGGTTCTATGTCACTAATCATCATGGAATGCATGATCCAGCAAGAAAGGAAAAGCTGGCTATAAAAACACTATGTGCGGTAAGTGTAACTTACTTCTTCAGTACTCTATTACATGGTTGTCAAAAGCATTACTTAACATTTTCATATGCAAAACAAACATTGCCCCAAACAGAAGACTGGGAGTGTACATTGTGGATACTATATATGTTCTATGATAAGTAACACCGGTGCTTACAGGAGATACCCCTTATGGGTAAGTTTGAACCTCTTCACCCGTAGTATAAAATTTCGTACATGGTATGAAATACTAAATCGAAACTTATTCTCTTGTAGTGGAAAGAAGAGAAATGAATGAAAGGAGACCCATACAAGGATGATCAACTCTTAGAGCTCGTCGGCGACCTTTGCAACTTCATATTGGACCAGATTGTACACGTCAGAGACGCCTACCATGACCGAGAGTCTGACTTAGGTAGAAATCCTCAGTACCAACACCTTCGTGAGACTGAAAGGCTAATTCTAGGACGTTGATAACAATGTGTATGGAATTTGTATATTTAATGATGGATTATATATATTCTTGTGAATTAGACTTGTAATTGTAGTTTATATAATACTCTTGTGCTTGTAGTCGTGGTCGTGGGGCATTCAGCAACGCGAACGCGGTTCGGAACGTTGGTCGCGGGGCATTCGACAACGCGAACGCGGTTCGGAACGTTGGTCGCGGGGCGTTCGGCAACGCGATTTTGAATTGTAAATTTGAATTTTTTTTTACGGGAAAACGTACTGTAAGAGCGGTTTACCCCTACAAACAGGTATTTGTAGGGGCGGCTCGTATTACCAGCCGCCCCTACAAATTGATTGTAGGGACAGCTTGTACTATAGCCGCCCCTACAAATCGATTTGTAGGGGCGGCTGGTAATACGAGCCGTCCCTACAAATAGATTTGTAGGGGACCAGCCGCCCCTACAAATAGATTTGTAGAGGCGGCCTGGGAACCGCCCCTACAAATGCATAATTTGTAGAGACGGCTCGATAGGGGCGGCTGGCCAAACCGCCCCTACAAAGAGTTACGAACCGTCCCTAAAAATCGATTACGTAGCCGTGGGCCTCGTGTGTAAAATTGGTCCAGTTCTAGCTCCTGGAGGACCAGCTTACCCCACGCACGGTCGGCCACTTTGGACAGCGATTAGTTGTGTTGTGGACACCAAAGCTTTAGGCACCGTTTGGATGCCGAATTTTTTGGCGAAATGCTATTGTAGCATTTTTGTTGTTATTTGGCAAATAGTGTTCGATCATAGTCTAATTAGGCTTAAAATATTCGTCTCGTGGATTTCGTCTAAACTGTGTAATTAGTTTTATTTTTTATTTATATTTAATGCTTCATGCATGCGTCAAAGATTCGATGTGACGGAGAATCTTGAAAAATTTAGCATTTTGGAGTGAAACTAAACAGGCCCTTAGATTCGTGGAGATTTAGCAAGGATATGATTCTCGTATATGTCAGCATCTTTATCATTTGTTACCTGCATTTCCCGTAGGAGCTGCATTGCAAATTGCAATCTTCCATTTGTGGATGTTAGAAGCCGCCTAGCATTTCGAGTTATAAACACGTACGGTACGCGCATAATTGTTTGGTTTTACACGACTGATACACACACTGCACCACGCATGCAGGCAGCTAGTGGTGCTGAACGTACATACGTTGTAGACACGCACAGAGGTCCACCGTCCACCTCACATGCACATGCACCGCTCGCGCCCGTGGCGCAGAACAACTCGTGCTCGTCACGTTCGATCCATCAGCAGCTGGTCACTGGTCAGTACCGAGCGCGGCGGCGTCAACTCCTGAGGGCCAATCAGGAGCGCGGCAGCGCCTGCGCGCACTCGAGTAGCCTTTATCCCCTAGGCTCCTACGGTCCTACCTAGGCGCGCGTGCCGCACCGCCAGAGTGGTCGGTCTTCGTCTCGTCACATGCATGAGCATGGTGCATGCAGTATGTACGTGCGGCGGCGCGCATACGTAACACTCGCTTCGCTAAGTTTGGGTCGGCGCACGCGGAGACCAGGGGTGCAGTGCTCGGCTGCCAGGGGGGCGGAAACGCTGTGCGCCTGTGCCTGTTAGGTTAGGCCGAGCGCGGGACGGCGGGAGAGACGAGCTAGCCGAGCAGCGCGTACGTACGTAGGACGACGGGCGGCGTCGGTGTCACGCGCTCGGGGACCAACCGAAGCGAATGCCGTCGGGGGGCCGCGGGGACCCGAGCGGTGGTGGTGGCCGGGCTGCACGGCTGCCCGCACGGCAAGGTGGTCTGCCTGCCTGCCCCTGCCCCTGCGCGCGGGCAGGCACGCACCTACTGGCGCCGCGCGCGCCCGCCCGCCCGCCTGCGGTCTGCAGGCCAGGACACCCGCCCCGCTCGGCGGCCGATGGATCGCTCGTATCAGCGACCAAGACGCCTCCGCCTGTCCCTGTCCGTCCGTCCATCTTTTTCCGATCGTTAATCCCTCGCCGAGGCCCAGGGTTAGGTGAGTGACAGACAGCATTATCCGGCGGTGGTTCGGGGCCGGGAGGCACGCGAGCACCGGAATCTTTCGGGCCCAAGATTTGCAGCGAAAAGTTGTTGCGCCCTCTGCCGCATTAACTCTCCGGTTGGGTCGGGGCTGACACGGTCGCCATCCATCGACGTGTGAGACACACGTTGCCTTGGCAACCAGAGAAGCGGGAGGAGCTCGAGCTTGCGATCAAACTCAAACTGAACCGCAACATTTCTATGATTGTGTGGTGCGGTAGCGGTACCAAAGACCAAGAAAAGGGAAATGCATGGTTCCTTGAAACAGGCAGACCGTCAAAACACTCTGATCAGGCAGACCGTCAAAACACTCTGATTCACCAGCGTTCGGTGTGCTTCAGTGAACCGAACAGCTTTAGGAAAAAAGCTGCTTTCTACTTTCTTGGTCCTTTCAGGAAGAGAATAGACGGCCTTTTCTGTATGTAAGGAAAAGTGAAAACAAGACAATATATTTGCAATCTCCTAACTAGTCTCTCTTCATATATATTTTGATAAATATAATGTACCTTATTACACCAACCAACACGTTAAGAATGTAGCTGTATATAAGAAGATACAAAATCTGTATGAAGTAAAACAGTCTAAACTCTTTCAAATTTGATTATCCTTTTTCCAACTGCAAACTGATGTTAGTTAAATACAATTCATCATGCATCATATACCCGATTTTTTATTATCTTCTCAGTGTCAGCAGCTGTCAGATGCCTAATGCCATATTCCCTCAGCCAATTCTTATCTGTAAACGCCCCATCTTTGAGTTGTTGCTCATCAATCTTCAGTAACCTCAATCCCTCAGACAGTCGAGGGAAGAAGCCTTCAGGTCTCAGACACCACGCTGAAAAAATAGCAAACAAAACGCTCAGGTCGCCCTGTAGCCTTTCTACTCCATCGCTGCTAATCTTTATGCCGCTTGTGAAAATGCCGCCGAAAAGCAGCTGGTCTACCCCGCTTGCCACACTTCTCCATACCGTCACAAAATCAACGGTATTTAAGCCACCTTGAAGCTTAGATAGTTGCCCCTGCATGTAGTCTAAAGATTCTATGAAGGTTCTGGATACAGCAGGTCCCTCCGATTTTTCCAGCCACTGCCTCCTATTTTTTAGATAATCCCGAGAACGAGCATCAAATCCACGCAAAATGACAGTGGAAATCTTATCGGCCCATTCCACTCTGAACTCTTTCAGATGATTTATCTCTTGCTGAAAGATACACCCACTCTCACCATTTACAGGTAAATTCTCCATCTCAAGAAAGAAAACATCCTCACACCATTCTGTCAATGTGGATTCGAAATATCGAGCTGCATTGATAGATTGTGACACCTTGAGCACAGCATTATCATCAGCCAGAGCAGTTAGCCCCTCTGCTTCTTGACACCTCCGAAGCATGTAACCAAGGAATTCTGATATGATGGGTGCAGCAGACATCCTAATGAATTCTGCCCTAAGCGTGATGCTAGGGATAGGACGAGCACGATCAATTAGCAAAGACAAGGTCTGATGAACGGCACTGGTGATTAGTGGAGACTTGCAATCATCTGAGTCATACTCAAGCATTGTTCCTTGAATTCTTGCACTCCAATTTTTCTCTAAATCCATTGCTGATTGCAGCTTATTAAGACTCTCCTGTCTCTCAATCTCTGCCCACACTTGAAGCCAATCTGGGCGATCACAGAAGACACAGAGGACTGAGATCCTCTGCCAACTGTCATCATCCTTTACCGTAAGTAGCAGTCCAGTGGCCGAGATTAAACCTTGAATCCGCTTGTCAAAAGATATCATTAGGTCAACAAGGCTGAGCCACGAGACTCTAGCCTGATATGCCGTGCTAACTACATCACTTGAGCTACTACTTTCCTGAAGAAGTTCAATCTGCTTAGGAAATATCTCTTTCACCAAGTATGTAGACAATGCAATGACCATTCCTGAAATCCACTCCTCCCTACAACTATACCCAATAAGGTTGGCCTTATCCACAATGGGCTGTAGAATCTCATCCATGGAATCAACAAAATCTCTAATTATCTTATAAGCAAGAGCAAAAACAAATTCAGGCTTTTCAGCCCATTTTGAGAAATGGTGTTGTGCAGCTGTAGATATTGGATTTACTAGCTCTTCAATTACCCATAATGGTTGACGTAGTTGATTGCCCACATCATGCCCTTTCAGTTGTCTAGCTTTTCTACGTTTCTGCAATTCCTGCAAGTTGCATAGTGCAAGGAAGCTCTCAGAATACTTGCTTTTCAGGTCACCCCGCATCGAAAACAATGGGTTTACAATCTCTGCTTGTTTCCCAGAATCAATACTTGAAAATTTTGAGCCAGCAAGTGAAGGAGGCCAGCCAAGGGAAGAAAGAAGAGATCGATGGTCAACAATGGCTTGTGGTCTTAGTATAGCTAAAGATCGGTCCACTCTGTGATCCACGGAAGATAGAAGGCGAGTCCATTGTGGTCTAGTCGTAGTTACAGAAGCTAAAAGATCTTCTATGTTTTTAAGATATCCAATAGCAACATGATGTGTTTTCTGAAAAAGAAAAGAGAATGCCAAAATTAGCAGCTGTCAAGTTGACTCTCCCAAGAATCACAATATGACAAGATCCATACCTCCGAATTGTCTACAGGAGATTTAAGTTTTCCAGTAACAGAAGAAGAAACAGCATCTTCTATATCACCCACCAAACTGTCAAGTTTGAGAGCCATTTCTGTATAGGACAACCTACCGTTAAGAACACACCAATTACAAAGTTAAAAATAAAGTACTACAGCAACTTAACTAAAAAACAAGTACTAAGCCAAGAGAAGGGCATGTAAATACAGATAATGGAATTGTGGTAACTGATAATCATCTAATACCAAGTGGAACAGTTAGAATTTCTAGGAGTTTGTTTAAATTAGTTTTGATTATTAAATTCATTATCTTGATAAAAGTCCACAATTACCCTTCCCTGTAAATTTCATGCCATTGTATAGTTGAATTAGTACAGCTACAATATCTTAGACCAATCATCATTTTCATCCAATGATGTAACCTATAATGTGCATCTTCTTTCAGGTCTCCAACAAAAGTAGAGAACACTTGATTCGAGCTAGCATAAAATAAGGAATATAAGAAAAAGAGACCATCAGCAACTTCGGGTTGTTTGTTTAGAATTAACATGATGTAAATAAGATGATAAAACATGGCCAAACAACTTACAAATCTTATATTTATTGCATGGCAACACAAAATGATATAAGATTTATTGCAACACCGATCGTCAACAAACTCCACCTACAGGCCAAGGGTTGCGATAAACCAGTACAAAGCGCAGATAAAGGGCGAGGGTTGTGATAGGCTTGGCAAGCCAACATTTTTACCTAGCCACTATTACAGGGATGGAATCCAATTTGTTTATTATTTGATTATTTCAATATCAGTTGTCAAAACACGACATATTTTTAGCAAAAAGATAATACTGATAAACTCTGGACATGACTATGAAGTATGAACTGCCAGTTTGCCACAATGTGGAAAGTTTCATTATAAGAAAAAAAATGCACAGTAGGTACTACAAGTCTGCAATGTCATTGGACTGGCAAGCGGCAAATATGTTGTGCATTATCTCAGCACGCAAGTGGACTAGACCACACATCTGGGAATGGTCAAAACAATATACTAAACTCTAGATAACAAAAAAGAATTGAGTAATGCATTGTGATAACCCTTTTATTTCCTAGCACTGGTTTGGTTGTCATATCTATCTTATAAAAATGCCTGCCTTGACAGAAAGTTTACACTAAGGCAGAGTATATGACTGTCCAATTTTAATGCATTAGAACTTTTAATGAATTATAAAATTGGACAGTTATGGTTAAGGTTTTTGTCTGCACCCTCCATTGTCACATTTAAGCTAGTTTAGGTTATTCCTAATCCCACCTATTCAACTTTGCCCTCTTCAATTTGGAAAATGCCAGTACAGCATTCGTCTTGATATGTTTTTTCAATATTCTATTAACTCTTTTAAAGTTTTCAATTTAAATGTCAACTAGCACACATGCCCGTGCGTTGCAACAGGGCGTAAAACTTGTGGCGTGGTCATCTGGACCTGCCCATGCCAATTATAATGACCTAGCTATATCTTTGATGGATTTAATTGGGCTTGGAGCCTTGGCCTAACCTTATTTCAATCAAATCAAATAAATTCCAAGGCCCATAATAAGTGCTAGATGCAATAAAGGATTAATCCAGTATGGAAATTTGACTGCAGATTAAGTCACCTTAAATAGGTGGCTCTTGTCTACATCTGTTATGAGGTTAAGAAAAGTGGAAGGCGAGCCACATGCCCAAGCCCACAGAGTCGCGGCGCGCACGGGCTTCGGCAGTCAGGGTGATACAATCTACCTCTGCTGGGCCTCGGAGGGGTGATAGTGAGGACGGATGAACGGGGTAGACTGATGGACCAAGAGGGGTAAGAGTGAGGGACAGACAGACCGAGGGATGGGAGGGAGAAATTTCCATACTTTAATATTAGATTTAAATATAGATTTACCCTGTCCAGCTACCACGAACATTACTACACCAGAATATCCAATGCCAATGTCCCAACCATAGCAAAAATACATGAAATAACCAGATACATAATAAGGGTAAGGTTGAATATGTGAGAGGTTGCGATAATAACAGAATAAATATTATTGTTTCAGAATTATTATTGCAGAAGACTCATCAATTCAATATTGTTACTATTACTGAAAACTCAACTACTGCAGTTGTGTACACAAGAACTAGCTAAGGACCAGTAGGTAGCTGCGACTTGTGAATCATGAAATCTGTTTCTCAGTGGACACCATAATGCAATGTCCCCCATCACTACCAATTAATTAAAAGAACAAAGGCAAACACATACATCCATGTGATCAAAATGAAGCACCCATTTGAGAGCAACCAGATCTCATGTCAATTAATTGAGTAGCACCAGGACAGATATCATCATCCATCCCAGCTGTATCAGGCTAGATCTACACCAACCAAACCTAATTATTAACCAAACCAAACAGCAGCTTCAATCACCAAAGCCGGCCTGCTCCCACAAGCGACCCCCATTTCACATAGCATCAGAAGTCATAGGGTGCACTGCTAAAAGTAATTCCAGCTCCACAATGGCACATCATATCAGAATTTCATAATTAAACATCCGTCAGTTTCAATATCATGCACAACAGTTTCCTCCTACGTGCCTAATGTAATGGTTCAATCTGTAGTTGAACCTTAACCAAACAGACATTGGATGGAACACATACTAGGGTCTTATGCACCACAAGTTCATAGCACGAACTCTTATGCCGAAATCAATACAAACTTGGAAAATTGGCAGTGCTGAGATAGTCATTCAAAATATCTAGCATAGAAGGAATGTGATTTGCAGAAATTCTATACTCACCGGCGTACTCTCTGACCATCTCCACTCTCGCCACCTCGGAGGCCAGAGCAGGGAGTTGCTCGAACTGCATCTGCTCCGTTCTCACCTCCACCTCTTCTCCAGCCCCTAAAAAAGGCAGTAATCACGAAGCTACTGAAGTAATATACTTAGTAAGCTCTTAATTTGAGAACCTCGTGTGTGTTCGGCATACCTGTTGACCCGGACGCTTTGAGGGCACCAAGCCCGCCGCGGACGCCACGGAGGGCCGAACCAGCGACCTCGCAGCAAGACGAGTACGCTGCGGCAGCTTCCTGAAGGCGTACGTACAGGTTGGAAATGGAGGCCTCTAGCTCCGCACAGTGCCCGCGGATCTCGGCCTCGACGTCGGAGGCCGTGGCGAGGTCGGCCGCCGAGCGGAATCGGGCGTCAAGGAAACGGCGGACCCCCGGGTCGATGTCTTGGAGAAGCGGGAGTGGATGGGATTGAGCTGCTGCTTCCATAGCGGAACGGATCACACCACGGCTTAGGGTTTGGATCCGGGGGAGGAAGGTAGATGGGGAAACAGCAGAGCCGGGGAAGAAGACGACCTGCATTTTTTCACTTTGTACCAGCTGTAATCACGGACGTTCATTTTTTAGCGGGTAACGGTTCATGGGAGTTTGACACTTGACAGGTTGGGCCGTTGCCTCAGGGCTTGAAGTTCCGTATGGGCCGGATTGTGGGTGGTCAGTAGTACGTATGTTTTTGTGGAAAAGTTTTTTTTTTTTGCCCACTTGAATTATTGCCGGAGTCTAGTTTTTATCCACAAACTTCAAAACTTGATAAAATGTCTTCTCTTAATTATCAAAACCGTTTAAATTATCTCCTGCCCCAGTTACAAATGGTTTTCAATGTGTTTTTATCTTTTTGAAATAAAAAATCTGGTAACCATCTAATAAGATTTTTAAACCACTTTCTATAGACTCTAAAAATTTCTAGAAAATTCCTAAAGATAGATTGGGATACAAGGAACCCAAATAAAATATTTAGATATCATGAAGTATATCCAGAAGCTTCTGAAAATAGATTTATCTCTCAAAATCCAAGAAAAATGTCAATTGTTTTAAATTCCCAAAACATTATAATGAATGTTTACATCCTTTTAAATACTTTCCACAACAAAAATTTGATATGCGACTAGCATGAATGGAACATACATTAATGATGATTGCATTCATGTTGAATATATCCATAGAGGATTTGAGTTATATGTTTCATGAACTCTAAATATTTTTTGGGGTTTGTCCTACCTGGATATATCTTTATGATTTTTCTCAGAATTTTTAGGAGCTTATGTAATTTTTTTACGGATTAAAAACTTTATCAGGTATGTATTGATTTTTTTTTTAAATAGAAATGACGAACCTTGGAACCCACTTCTAATCGGACAAGGAGAAATTTTAGATGATTTTGAGAGTTGAGAGAGATAGTTTATCTGGTTTTAGAGTTAGAAGAGGAAACATGGACTGTAAGTTAGTTTTCGAGGCAAAAGGGGCCTTTCTTCCATATCTTTGTGAGGGTTTGGACCCGGTGAAATATATGGGCTCCTCTAAGAAAAACAATACATGTAGCCTTTTTTGCAAACTATGGGCAGAATGTTGCTTGACAAGAAGAGTGGTTTACAGTATAGGCCCATGAAATTATATGCTAGGCTGCTAGCGTCAGAGAGAGTGAGACCCATGGCCTGTCTCAGTGTATGCTGTTTTAGAATTCATTTGAGTCGAATAAAATATAAAAGAAAAGAAAAAGGATCGATACGGTAGAGCTGATGAGCTTCCGTCCCAAATAATAGCAATACTTTGTCCATCCCAAAATAATATAGGAGTAATTCAGAAGTGCCCTGTGTGACTGAGATCTACGTCCAATTGCTTCATCAAATCTAGGCATTTTTGGCTAAAATAAAGCGGATAGACTCTCTATTTTTAGTCTAAATAAATGTAAACAAGATGACTCGCCTAAAAAAAGCTTGGATACACTCAAGCCCATGAGTTGTTGGAGCTAGAGAGACCCGACTGCAATAATTATTAATTTGAGCTCCAGCCTGTTCGTTTATTGATTTCAGTCAGCCCAAACCAGCCAGCTAACCGTATTTTCCTCTCACATAAAACCAGCACCAGCACCAACCAGCGAACAAACTCGTTAACAAACTGCCCCTAAAATAGAAAGAACTTAGAATAGTCTCGTATACTCTGTTCTGTGGAAACAGAATTACGGTCGCATGAATCGTTGGAACTTGCAGTAGAAATATACCGAATGACCGACGCAGGAAAGGACAAACCAAGGATCACCAAGGATAGGAGGAGAGGAACATGACTGCAGGAGGCAGGAGCAGCATGGGAAAAGGAACAACCCCGAAAACCACCTCGCTGGCTTTGCGGTTGCGGCAGGCGGCAATGAGGATGGGAGCCTGCGACCTCTGCGCGTGCCCACGCGCTGCCAGGCTGCCGCTGCCCGCGCCGCCCCACGCATCCCGAAAAGGCTCGTAGCTGTAGCCGTGTAGCGAATGTACTCCGGCGTGTCTAGGTCAGGGGCGAAGAAGCTAGTACTAAATTTACGGTGGTGCACAACCGTTAACAGCAGTGTAGAAATATGTCTTTTTACAACTGATTTTATGATCAAAATAAGATATTTAGTATTAAATATTTTTTCTTGTCTGGTGCCGGTGCACCAGACAAAATCAACGTGGCTTCGCCCCTGAGGTCAGAGCTAGAATTGCTTTTTTTTCTGAACAAAACGAGTACGCTGCCGCGGCCCGCGGCCGTGCAGGCGCGCATCAGTCACGCGCACACATTGACACATTACTGCCCAAATGGCAAACGCAACCGCGCTGGCCGTGGTCCTGCTCTGGATCAGCCGAAACGATGGCGCGGAGCCCCCCGAGAAGAGCCGAGTCCACTCGGAGCCGTTCGACGGCCGCTGGGGACCGGCCGCGCAGGCAGGGACCGCGTCAGGCTGGCTTGCGGTCGCTTTGCATCCATCGGCGCGGCAGCCGGAGGAAGGAGGCGGACGCATCCGACGAGGAGGCCACATGGGGGCCGGCGATAGGGCGTACGGGCGCAGGGCGCGGCAGGGGCAGAGACAGCCGGAGGACCAGGCACCAGTGCCAGAGAGGGGCAGCAGGGGCAAAGCCCCTGTACGAACGCAGAGCTCGGGCACGGCAGGGCGGCGCACGGGAAATGGCGCGGGTCACCGTGCGCCACGGCCTCCATATGTCTCTCGCTAACATTTCGCGGAAACACTGCTGCTGCTGACTCGCCTGTCGCCACATGCCGGTACGTCACTGCGTCTAGTCGACTACCGCACGACAGCACGAAACACTCACTCGAGTGCATGAGCTCGTCGACGGTTCCCGGTGCGCAGGCGCAGCCACTGCCAGAAGAGTTGTACAGTAGTACACGCCAGTTGGCCTGTAGCCTGCCAGCCCGTGCCTCGCCTGCGAAGCGTACGCCCGCGGATAACCGTATCTTTCCCGTCGCATCTCTACAGTGCAGGTGCAGGTGCAGGCATGGAGATGACGGGAGTATCTTTCCGACGTCTGCCTGCCATCGTACCATTGTGGTGCGCTCCAGGCTCCACTCGTGCTCGCAACGGGACCAAGCCGGAAGAAGTGGGCAGGGCAGTGCCCAGTGCCAGACTGCCAGTGCAGCCTGCAGAGGAGACGACGAGGCAGCAACAGCCTCCCAGCCCACGGGCGCTGCAGCACTGTACCGCACGACTCGGCAAGGGCTGTAAAATAAAAGTGAGGGGAAAAGCTCTCTCCGTGATTCATGTCATCAATCTCACTGGCTTCCATTTCCCTGAATCTGACTGAGTGGATCGATAGAAACGGAAGCTGCACAGCGACAGGCCGGAGGCCTGGGGATGATGATTTGAGCTCTCGTCAACGAAAGCAGGACGCCAGGAGTTGTTGCCCAATGATCATACAGAGGTCATGATGCAACAGCAACAACACCGGAATACCAAGAAACCGAATGCGAGGACGAGAATCCTGAGTGCTACTGCTAAAGCAGAAAACTGCTCGATGAACAGAAATGATGATTGACTAGAGACACCACAATAATTAGAACAGACCAAATGAGGTCTATTCTTTTAGTAGTAGTAGAAGTAGATTCACTTGGATCGTGCATGGATAGAGTGCCCATTTTAGGTTTGAATTATCTTTTTTTCCTAATCTTCTAGGATGATGCCTTAGAAATTCTAGCCAATAATCTTATTACTAACGGATGCACAAAAGACAACCCGACAAGCACCCAGTCACAACTGAAAGAGCACAAAAAAAATTAAAAGGCACAGCACAGCCAACAGATTTTCATAGATATGCTGCAAACTGATGGGGGTCCAAACAAACCCATGAAGCTAATCATAGGCACAACTCGACAAAGAAAACATGGCCTCTCAATCTCCACGATACAAAGCACGAACCAGACAACGATATACTGATTAGCTCCGCAGTTGTCGCCATCTTGGATATAATAAAGTGGGCACCTGCCAAACACTTGATAATAATATCTCATAGGCTAAGAAACAAAGTTAGCGTAGGATCCCTACTACTGAAAGGAAAGTGGAAGGGCTTTAGCACCAACTGTTTCAAAGGATTTAAAGGCAGGCTACAAACAAGGAGAGGTCGGTGCTCAAAATTATGCTGGGAAATGTACAGATAAACAATTTTTCATGCAATTCTTGGAAAGACACATTTGCACAATGGAACTACAGCGTTGGCACAGTGATACAATCATATAGATGCAGGGTTACCACAATTACAATTTATCACCTATATGCATCCATCTCAGAGAACTCATTTCAACAGAGTATATGGAGCAAGGTACAAATCATCAACTGCAAATAAAATGTGCTGAAAACACAAACCAATGGGTAACTATTAACGAGTACATGGAACTGACTACTCTATTGAACCTTGAGTAAAATCTGAAATGTCAAAAAGAATGCAGAGATTACCCATCAGGTGGAATCAGTGCTTTATGCCATTTGATAAAACCAATATCACAATCTTTCGTGTCGACAGTATGTTTGAGGGTGCACATATCAGCACACCATGACAGCACAGTTATAAACAAAGTTACCTGAAGGTTTGCTTCCGATCATGTTCCATTGCAATGGCCCCTCACTTGGAATCCAAGAATGGAGCTCAATCATCCCACCACCCAACACTCTTGGTCCACCGATAACCAAAAGCCGCTCTCCACAGCCCCGGAATGCAATTCCCCAGCCATTCACAGCTTCTGGCCGCTCTGGTAACTCCCCCAATGTTGTCCATGAGTTATCCATTTTATTATACTTTCTTACCAACTTTCCGGCGTATTGCGCTGCATATAACTCATTTTCAACAACAGCGACAAGTGGAGGAGCACCACTTGCACCATTGAGCCCCTCAGACATGTTCTCTATCACCCGCCAGGTACCTTTATCTAAATCATACTCTTCTCCACAAGTAAGCACTTCT